CTCACAGAGGGGTGGTGGCAGACCTCAGGCTTCCCTGGGCCTTTTGCTGAGCTCCCGCAGGCCCCGTACTGCTGGCTGCCAGCCTCAGTTAGCAGTATGGCCTCACCCACATGCCTCCAGGCCCAGCACAGGCAGCTACCGAGGATCCCACTGTAGCTCCTACCAGAGAGCCCGGGCCCAGGCACAGACAGCGGCTGACCCTGGCCTGCACAGAAGCCCTCCCAAGATGCCCAGAACCAAAGCACCCAGTGGCCCGCATCAAATCATACAAGAGCACCACCCGATAAGCTCCACAAGCAGCACAGCCAAAGGGTGGTCCTAGCAGGCACCAGAACGCGCTAGAGTGAATCTCGCTCTGTGGGGTCAGCTACCACACAGCAGCTCGTATGTTATGGTTATGGCCAGTCCTCATAGCCAGTCAGCCTGAGGGGCAATTCTACCCACTGATGTACTTAAAGCAATCAAGCTCGATTACAGTAGGAGAGCAGACACAACCTACACAAGTGACACTCCTGGAGCACCTGGCTCAGGTAATCAGGGAGACTGCACCACTGGTCCCCACAGGATACCTACTACATAAGGCCACCCTGCCAAGATTGGGAGATATAGCAGATCTACCTAATATATACAAACAAACAAACAGAGACAGCCAAAATGAGGACACAAAGAAACAAGTTTCAAATGAAAGGCGAAAACTCCAGAAAAAGAACTAAACGAAATGGAGGCAAGCAATCTACCAGATGCAAAGTTCAAAACGCTGGTTATAACAATGCTCAGTGATCTCAGTGAGAACGTCGGCAAAGACATAGGATACATAAAAATTGAGATAGAAACCAAAAAGAACCAATCAGAAATAAAAATACAATATCTGAGATGAAGAGTACATTCGAGGAAATCAACAGCAGATTAGATGAAGCAGAGGATCGAATCAGCAATTTAAAAGGCAAGGTAGCACAAAACACCCAATCAGAAAAGCAACAAGAAAACAGAATTCAAAAAAATGAGGATAGTTTAAGTGGCCTCTGGGATAACATCAAGCATAACCCATCATAGGGGTGCCAAAAGGAGAAGAGAGAGAGCAAGGAATAGAAAACTTATTTCAAGAAATAATGACTGAAAACTTCCCTAACCCAGCGAATGAAGTAGACATAGAAGCCCGGGAAGCACAGAGAGTCCCGAAGAAGATGAACCCAAAGAGGCCCACACCAAGACACACCAGCGTTAAAATGCAAAAGGTTAAAGACAAAGAATCTTAAAAGCAGCAAGAGAAAAGCATTTAGTAACCTATAAGGGAGCTCAGCTGACTTCTCAACAGAAACTTTGCATGCAAGAAGGGACTGGCACAAAATAGTCAAAGTGATAACAAGCAAGGACCTACAACCAAGATGACTCTACCCGGCGAGGCTGTCGTTTAAAATAGGACAGATAAAGAGCTTAGCAGATAAGAAAAAGCTAAAGGAGTTCATCATCACCAAGCCAGTATTACAGGAAATGTTAGAGGGATTTCTTTAAGAAGTGGGAGGGGGAAGAACATAAATATAAATCATAAAATAGCAGTATCTGCATACCTCTCGATAACCACTTTGCATGTATACGGATTAAATGCTCCAATCAAAAGACAAAGTGTGGATGAATGGATAAGAAAACAAGACCCTTACAGATACTGTCTACAAGAGACCCACTTTAGAATGAAAGACACACGGACTGAAAGTAAAAGGATGAAAAAAGATATTTCACGCAAGTGGAGATGAAAAAAACACTGGGGTAGCAATACTCATACCAGACAAAACAGACTAAAACAAAGGCTACACGAGAGACAAAGAAGGACATTACATGATGATAAAGGCACATAACCCTTATAAACATTTATGTACCCAACATAGGACCACCTAAGTATATAAAGCAAATATTGACTGACATAAGAGGAGAGATTGACAGTAATACAGTCATAGTAGGGGACTTGAACACCTCATTCACATCAATGGACAGATCTTCCAGACAGAAAATCAGCAAGGAAACGGTAGTCTTAAATGACACACTAGACCAAATGGATTTAATTGATTTTTTTAAGAGCATTTCACCTCAAAGCAGCAGAATATATATTCTTTTCAACTGCACATGGAACATTTTCCAGGATAGACCACATGTTAGGCCACAAAACAAGTCTCAATAAATTTAAGAAGGTTGAAATCTCATGCATCTTCTCTGACCACAGTGGTACGAAACTACGAATCAACTACAAGAAAAAAAACTGGAAAATACACACAAAAAAATGGCGGCTAAATAACATGCTACTAAACAACGAATGTGTTAACAATGAGATCGAGGAAGAAATCAAAAGATACCTAGAGACAAATGAAAATGAAAACACACCAACTGCAAATCTATGGGACAGGGTGAATATTATGAATGTTTATTTTACTTCTTTGCCTTCATCTTCCAACCCTGAGCTCTGAATTGGTACATGTCCCTGAAATATTGCAGGTCCCCAACCAATCAATCCCATTCAGAAAGCATTTCCTGAAGGTACACCTCAGACAAGGCACCGTGGAGGGGCATATAAAATAAAAGGTGGCCTGTGACCTCAAGAAATCAGAAATTCTAGGGCAGGATAGGAAAAGCACACAAGTCTAACACAGGACTTAATGTTTCGTTGCCATAAAAGTGATGTTAAAAATTACATACCTACTGTTGGCTTAGCCCCGGGCTAAGTACTGTGTGGTATATTTAGTAAGTGGTCGATTGTTAGTGATGCTTAAACACTAAGTATATCAACGAAGGGGGAAAGCATACAGGCCGTAGTGGTAAAAGTTTTGAGGAAGAGGCATGACTTAAGCCAGATGTTAAGATGGACAACATCTTGATAGATGCTTGGAAGAATGAAATAACATTCCAGGTAAGAAGTGTGACATGAATGTGGTAAAAACACTGAAGAGGCCATCTATTCCTAAGTAAAAGGTGGGCATTGTGGGTTGTGGACGGTAATCTTAGAGAGGTAAGCTAGGGTAGAGGGTACCGTAAGATAAGGTAAGATGGTAGAGGGTTTTGTAGACTTGATACAATAGGAAACAGCTACCATGGTCCTCAGCGTGTGGGGGCACAAAAAGTAATTTTCCTCGCACCTTTCCAGATTCTTCTGGCTGGACTAATGATCAAATTAACATGAAGCAGATTGATAGAAGAAAATTTCAAAATGTACTGAATTTCAAAATGTACATATGGGCGTGTCATAAGAATATGAGACCTGATGATGCATTGGGCCATTGAGGCTTGTATGCCATTTTGGACAAAGAAGAGGGAGACAGGGATCTGGGATTTCAAAGGGAAAGCAGGCGATTCCCAGGTAGAGGGGAAAGAGCAATCATGTGGCAAACAAATTCTTGCAGGGCCACTAGAAACCGTGGGACACAGAGGAGGGTCTGGCAAAGAGACCGGCTGGAACACTCCCTGTCTGCCACACTTCGTTCAAATGTGCTAAGGTGAATATGCCAAGGTTCCTGTTGTAAAGCAGGTTTTTCTATCCGAATTCCTCTAGGCAGGTAAAGGAGGAGGGCCAAAGGTTCTTTCCGAGTCTTTTCCTTTGAAAGCAATATCCCGAAAGGCATGTTTTGAGGTGGCACAACTTTGATCTCCGTCAAGCGATAATGATATAACAAAATATAAATTTTAGAAAGATTACTCAGGTACTAGTGTGCAAGTTGGATTAAAATTTGGGAAGACAAGAACTAGAAAGATAGTTGGGCATGTGTCCCAACGGCTTCGTGAGTGGTCACAACACTAGAAATGGAGAGGGAGTATCAAAGCCAGGAGACATTGTCAATAACTAGAAATAGTCCCAGTGACTAGAGAGATCTGGCAGTCATTCATATAGAGATGGCAGTTAAACCCATGAGAGTTGTAGGAGATAATCAAGTGAGAGAATAAAGCTAGGGAAAGCACATAAAATGTACAATTTGGAATCACCCAGGCAATGTTGACATGCCTCCATGTGGACAAGGAACCGAATGGACAAAGATAAAGTCAGAAGGTAAAGGGTAGAACCTTAGAGGACGCTCCTAGTTCAGGGGAAGACATCACAAAATACTGCGAATGAGAAAGTATTGCTTTGTTTTACGATGAAAAAGCCGAGGTTGGGGAGGTAGAGTGACTTATGTGAGGCCACGAAGCAGATGCCAAGTCGGCCGAAGTTCTTTCATATTCCACACAGTGTCCACTTCCCATAGTCTCAAGGGTTTCTATGGGAACGGGATTTTAAAGGAGGGGAGGGTATCTAGGATGACACAGGAAGAGAGCCAGGGCTGTCCCCGCATATACTGAGACTAAAATGGCATCATTCTTGTGTTAGGTAGACTTCTACTGAATAATAGGGAAATTACTGTAGCGTAGGCAGCCAGAACAGGTGGGGGTGGGAAGAAGGTAAATGGACTTCTCAATTCCGCATTTGTCTTCTATGGCGCATTATTTTTTGAAGTCTCTGCGTTTTTTCAATTTAGTCCTCATCAGGCGATGACTCTACCTTTGCAGCCTTAGCTGAATCTCCCCCGGGAGTGAAACCAAGAAGGAAGTTGATAATTGGGTTCAACGTCTGCGAGCCTGGTTTTCATTCAAATAATTGCCGGGAGGAAGTGTTCTGTGCCACCGGGAGCGTGGATGACAGTGGTACAAAGTAAAAGAAACCGATTTAGCAGAATACTGGAAGCCAGTTTGTGAAATGGTGCCTTGCCATTCCTTATCTACGAAACTCCAAGACGGCAAGGAGCGACAAGGCGCACAGTGCATTGCACCTCAGGAACTGCCTTTCACGGTTTAGCAGTCGCCTTCTAGGTGACATGACATGTGTGCTTCAGTACTTGCTGCCACTTTTTTCTTTGAGTTATTTGGCAAACACGAGTTATTCTCTATATATCCTCCGCGGAAGAGCTGCTCTAATATTGCTGCTTTCTGTTCAGACTTATGGGCAACAACAGCCTAAGTCTAGGATTCCAGACAAGACGGAATGGTGCACGCACCAGGAAGCCGTGATTCCACAGACATTGTCAGAGCCAGTTTTACTTTTCCGTTTTTCCTGGCAGAAAGCAGCTTGTCTCTGGAGTCTGCCTGCTTAAGTCAGTGGCATGAGAGTTTGACAGCCTGATCAGGGCAGGGTGAACTCCCCTGGCTGGCCTCTATCTTCTGAATCCAAACCTCACACTTGTGGGAGCACTCTGAATGGCACATTGATTTCGTAAAGGAGAACGTACTAAGCAGAAACTGTAAGGGACAACCGCCGTTGACTTTTTTCATCTCGAAATGCCAAGTACACGATTATGCAGGGAGTGTAAAGAAAGTGACTCTCTGTACATTAAACGAGTTGATTCAGAATGTGCTTTGCTCACCCAAAAGGCTGGGAGTTGGAAACAGAAACATTTATATTGTGAATGATGTTGCTCGTTAATGCCAAAGCCTTGTTTTCTAGATGCCTCATTCCGTTTTAGAAATTCACCGACATCTAAAGTACTGTAATAGCTACCTCAATTATGTCCAGTAGAATAACATCAAAGCAGGGTAATTTTGTGAGTAGCAAGACCCAAAACATTCCATTTAAAGCCACATGATATTGAGTTGTCACCGTGGCTTTTTAAGTCTAATACCAGCCAGTATTATAGATCGGATAATGCTGGGCAATAAAATAATCGTCGTTCGCAGTACCGCAGGCTGACTACTCTTGGAATGTGAATGTCTGGACTGGTTACAAATGCTTCAGTATAGCACACCAGGTTTTAGAGATTCATAGATGTCTGCTGCCTCCATGGATTAGGAAAGAAGGAGATACACCAGTGAAAAAATACGCACCCATACCAGAGAAAGGGACATTTGATCACCTTTACTTTTCAACCTTACAGATTATCCAGAAGGTTCATCATCTCTTGCGGTGGAAACGGAAACGTAGCAGTGTTCACATTTCCTGCATCTCTAAGACAGGTCAGTATTCTGAGGGAGACACATAGAGTGCCACCTGGACTTCTAAGAGGCAGTCTTGTCAGGAATACTAGAAAAGGAATCAGTTCTCACCCTGGTGAATAAGATGTTCAAAAGTACATTTTATCAGCTTTATTGAGATATAACTCACCATGTACTTCGATCACTTAAAGTGTACAATTCAGTGGTTTTTCGGGATATTCACAAAGTTGTGTGACTCTCAGCATAATCAATTTTAGAATATTTTCATTACCCCCAAAAGAAACCTCACTCTTAATTCCTCCACTAATCTACTGTTTGTCTCTATAGATTTGCCTATTCTGAATATTCTATATAATCCACGATTCCATGGAATGATACAATATGTTGTCTTTTGTCAGAAAATATTTGCAAATCAAATATCTGATAAGTGACTTGTATGCAGAATATAAAAAGAAGTCTGATAATTTTATAATAAAAAGAAAATTCAGATTTTTAAATGGGCAAAGGATATGAATAGACATTTCTCCATATACAAATGATCAATAAGCACATGAAAAGATGCTTAACATCATTAGCCATTACAGCAGCCTTCCCTAAGCTTTTTGCCACCAGGGACCGGTGCTCTTATGAGAATCTACTGCCTGGTGATCTGAGGCGGAGCTGAGGCGGTGATGCCAGTGCTGGGGAGCGGCTGCAGATGCAGATGAAGCTTCGCTCACACACCCACCGCTCACCTCCTGCTGTGCGGCACGGTTCCTAACAGGCCACGGACCGGTACCGATCCACAGCCTGCGGCTTGGGGACCCGTGCATTAAGGGAATACGAATCAAAACCAGAAGATACCACTTAATATCCACTAGGATGGCTATAATTCAAAAGGCAGATAATAAGCATTGGCCAGGATGTAGAGAAATCAGAACCCTCACACACTGCTGGTGGGAGTGTAAATGAGGCACTCGCTGTGGACAACGGTTTGGCAGTCCCTCAAAATGTGAAACGTAGGGTTACCAGATGACCCAGCAATTCTACTCCTAGGCATATAAACCAAAAGAAATATAAACATATATGTACAGAAAAACTGCTACATGAATGTTTACAGCATCATTATTCATAATAGGCAAAAAGTGAAAACAACTGTAATGTCCATGTACTGATGAACAGATAAATAAAATGTGATCTATCCATACAAAGGAATACTATATGGCAACCAAGAGAATACATGCTGCAACATGGATGAGGCTTGAAAACATTCGAAAATTACATTTTATTTTAATTGAAAACTTTTCAGTATTAAAATATATCTATGTATGTAGAAAGAAAATCACAGAAAAGAAATATACCAAAAATGTATGTAAAAAAGAGACGTTTTCATGGGTTACTTCCTTTGCTATCCAGCCTTGACACGTCAGCCTCTCTCTTGCCAGTATTCCTATCCCGTCAACTCCTCTGCCTTAGCCAGAAAAACTGAGACTCCAGATTCAATCCAGCTGTCTACCTTCTCCATTCCTATACTCGGGCTGCTGAGAACTACTACAAAAATAACGCAACCGATTAGAAATACTGAGCGTGACTGATTACAAATAATACAACTGAGATTGCACATTTGTAGTCTCCATCCTAAATCAGCCTGATAAGTCTTCACTACTTACCTATTGACCAGTAGTTCTTTCCTCTATTAACCACATATCAAGGTTTTATCGTTTATTTAATCCATTCACTGCTGTCCGATATTAAGATTCTATCCAGTTTTCACTATTATGCTGTCAATAATATTGGATATAAATCTTCTTCCTCATTTATAATCATTTTCTTAGGATAGAATTCTAGAATCAAAATTACTGGTATGAACTTTTTAAAGACACTTAATACATATGCCAAATTGTTTTCCAAAAAGTCGATACTAATAATAGCTACCTGAGTGCCTACTAGATGCAAAATGTTGTTTTAGATATATTTTAATATGTTTATTCTACGGATGAAGAAATTAAAGTCTGTTGATGTTATTTGTCCAGAGCAGCAAATCTAGAATTCAAATTCAGAACTGCCCAATTTCAAAGCTCATGCTATTTCTATGTGATTTTTTAAAATAAATGAAGTTTTATTATCAAATTATTATATATTTACTGGAGAGAATGTGGAAAATACAAGTAGAAAATAGAGAAAATGAAAATAAATTACCCACGAACTCGCCACTTACAATTCAGTGTATTTCCTCAGGCTTTGGTTCCAGATACAATTTCTGAGTTAAAAATAATCGCAGCAATATATATATAATTTTGCATCCTGCTTTTATTACTTACCACTTTAATGCTGACTCATATTCTTTATAAATGTAATTTTAACACTTGCATCTTATTGTCAATGAATGTTACCATGTAGATATTTACAGTTGTTCAGCTCACATGTGAATTTCTTCTTTTTATTCCCAGGACCCTCTATCTCCCACGAAGCTGATAGAGTTCAATGTTCGGAACCATTTTAATCTTCAAAATAAGTCACCATGGCAGATTGAAAGCTTCACAATTTGAAGGCATTCCATCAAATACTTGCTATGCAGGTTGATGTTTCAGGACTTTACAAGTCATTTAAACTATTCGGCGTATCTATAGGGACTCCGTGGTATCGAGGGGAATCAGACTACAGACTACATTTGCGGCTTGTGTGCCTGGGCATTTACAAGCATGCATGTATGTAGCATATTTACATAAAATGCTGCTGTGGTATTATGAAAATCTGGTTAAAAAATCTGAGGTTTTTATTCGATCATGGTTCTTCCCTAAATAGCAATTTAAATATATGTCGAGCTGTGAACATCAGGTCCTGTGCCTGTATCAGGTCCCTAAAATTCAAGAGATTCGACACTTTGTGATCAAGGTGCTCAGATTGGGATTGAACGACAATGAAATGGAAAACCTGTTCTCTGTCATAGAGGTGTGCTATTCCTGAAATTATCACAGCTAATAGGGAAGATCAGATCAGATCAGGTTTCTACTTTATTAAATATAACAACTGGTGTTTTAAATGCCAGCCTATGGTAAAATTCTCTAACTACTTCATTCTTTTCTCGGCTACCCAGCTTTCTTTTAGTCCTTATGAATTACTGTTATGATACAAGAAAAATTATAAGCCTGAGTTATGGACCGTAGATTTCATTTAAGAATTTAAGGGTGATATTCAAGTTTAATCACAATATCATTCCTAAGGGTAAAGTTTCACTGTTGAAATTGGCCCAAAGATTAGCATGAAAGTTCTGTGTTTTCGCAGCAGGGGTTAGTATACAGATAGTGATATGTCATCCAATAGTAATATGTCAATCTTTTTTTTTTTTTGGTTTCAGTGGTAGCTTAGCCTTTAAGATAGTTTACATCCATTTCCCCATTTATTTGTAATCAGTGTTTCTTTCAGTCCTAGTGCCTGAATCAATGAGTATGAACACTAATGCTGCTTTTTAATACTGATAATACCTAGGAGTATTGATGCTTTTCATTTCTCAGCCAGTGCTCTAGTCGACAATTTACAGAGATTGGTGAGAGTTCGAGGTATCTTACAGATATCAAATAGTTGAGCTCCTACAGGGAGGTTAGGGTTACGAAATTATTCCCCCTAAAACCCTTTTGAGTAGCAAAGAGTTGCCTGCCATACACAATGCAGTGTTTGGACCCCCGTGGAGCTGAGACAGTGAGGGATCCAGCTACTTAAAGCAACAAAAGTTCATTGGGCTCCTCTAGGTAATTTCGGTGAAGGGGAGACTTTTAGCATAAATTAAATGGATTGTGGCCAGCATTTGAGAGAATACTAGGCATGACTAAATCTTTCAGTGCTAGGGACTGTTTCTGAAACTCAGACACTACGAAGCAGCCTAAAACACTGTGCATACCGGCTTTCACAATGAAATCGTATATGTTCCGATGAAAAGTTTTCTCCTTCCTCTCTCCGTCCCAAATACTCTCTTGTTTAGGTTTTTCTCGAAAGCTTCTTTGGCCATTCACGTGGTCTTATGATGGATAAGACTGGCCTTCTATTCACACGGAAATGCACCTTTCTCTAAAGGTAGGGCCATTACTGACTCCACGGTCAGTGGACCGCAAAGCAAACTTTCCCCTTCCCATCTGTCATCTTCTGCCAAGGGTTTCGGCAGAGTAGCTGCTAAGTATAATTCAAAGTCAGAAAGGAATCGAGAACTTCTTCGATGCATGGAGCGTAACCAGCACTCAGCACTCAGAGACATCAGCTCATAAAAGACAGTGTCGGGGCGGAACAGGGAAGCATGGGAAGGTGACGCTCAGGAGCGCCGTACCGCAAAGCTGGTTGTTTAATGTCCCACAGACTCGCACTGTCTTCGAAAGGCCAAATAAATCAGTGTTTTAGCTCGGGGCTTGCAGAAATAAAGAAATCCTATTCCTATCTCAGCACCTTGATTTCGCTAGTTTGTAGACTCTGAAATATCCATACATTATTGAATATTGACTACTGTCCACAAGCATCCCCCCGCAATTGGTCGACTATTGATAAAGAAGACAGAAAGATTTGTTTGCTAATTAGCATGTCCTGATGTGGTTCCTCTGCTTGCTTTTCCTTGAGGCCCCATCCAGTAACCTCTGTGGGATCTCATTCCCCGATCTTTGCACTCGACTTCCTCGTTTGCCAGACTGGAACAAAAATTTAATGTATTTCTAACGGTATTTCTAAGCAAACTAGTGTGTTCCACTC